AAATATAGAGTTCAGGCCAGCCTCTAGACTAAGCAAGAAAGCTCTCCAAGGAGAAGCAAGATCTCTGCAATTTCTCTTCTGTCAAGAGTCCTGCAGATGGTACTGTAAAGTGAAGTTACACATTACACTTGGACCATATTTAATCTTTGGAGTGTTAATCAGCATTAAAAGAGAAGTGGTGCTGGCTCCTACCCTGGGGGTCTTTAAGAGGAGGCTAGATGAACACCTAGCTGGGGTCCTTTGACCCCAGCGCTCTTTCCTGCCATGGCAGGGGGTCAGACTCGATGATCTGTCAAGGTCCCTTCTGACCCTACAAACTATGAAACTATGAAAATGTGCTGTGAACAGTCTCACAATAAGGGTTACTACTGTTTCCTACCTGCACAGTTCTGACTTACCACTAGAGGGCTGATGAACAGCGGTATGGCTAGGAGCCAGGACACCTGGGCTCCATCCTTGTTCTGGGTGGGACTTGGTGCTGGGAGCAGCGCAACCTGGGATGCTGGAAGACTGCAAATTGCTTGTTTAACTCTGTGGAGCAAACCAAAGTTAACCTAACATGAACTAGGTAGCATGGCACGGAGTTCTCCCTCACCAGAAGTGGCATAACTTTAAGAAGCTCAGAGGGTACTTAACATGAGTTAACAAGCTTTAGCAGGTGGGCAGTCACATTTTAGGTGCATTTAGTATGAGCTAGGTATAACATGTAACTTCGCTTTAAGTAGAGGAGTCTGGTCAGCATATCAAGGCTTCAATGAGTGCATCATCTCAATAACTTCTAACAGTCACAGCCTGTAGTTGCGATTAAGGCTGGCCTCCTCAGACAGAAACCCCAAGATGGGACAGTGGTAGTGGAAAAAGAACTTGCCTTCCATACATTAAATGGGACAGTCTAGTGCAGGAGGATGTAATTTACCATTACAGTAGATCTGGCTCAATGTACCCAGCCACATAATTCTTTTTTTATACAGAGAACTCCCTAAAATAATTATTCACTGAGTAAACCAACCTGCTTCTCCAGTTATTCAACACAGCTACACTCCCCAATGTCATATCAGTGTGAAGTGTGAGATTGAGGCAGCACAGCAATTGCAGCCCTCCCAAGAAAAGGAATCAATTTCCTTTCTACTTTTGTATGTTAGGGTATAGCAAATCTTGTGTAACAGGAATAATGTTCATTGCATTGAAATATACTAAATAAATGGCTTTTGCAGTTGTTGAATGCCTCTGCTTCACTTTGGCATTTAATCAGCCACAAAAGCAGTTTATTGCTCAGTATACTCCACTACCATGAACATTATCAATTCAGAAAAGATTAAAAAATAACATGCAGGTGTCACAGAAATGGGAGGCATAAATATTATCTGCATCTTTACATTTTCTGCTGTGCATATGAAGGCAAACTGAGTTATTTTGATACAAGGCCATTCTGATTAAAATTAAGTATAAAAGGACCACACATGGAATCAGGAATGTTTATGCTGAGACAGTGACCTGCCATGCTGGTATTTTTCCTTCTTGCAGAGTGAAAGCTTAGGTCTAAGAAAATAAGCTGTATACTCCAGTGAGTACTATGCTAGAGCGCTTTGAATTCTTCACATCACAAAATCATTTATATTGATTCTATGACTAAAAGGAATGGAAATATGTTTCTCTTTATAATAAATTCTCCCTTTTTTTGGTTTAAGTAAATATTTGTGCTCATGGTTTAGGGATTGGTTGCACTGACAACTGAAAGCCTCTATTGATTCGCTTCCCTGGCTTGCTGAAGGAGCCTCTCAATGTAATCTTTCCCACAGCGTCCTTCCAATACCTTCAGCTCTAACCTGGAAGGACAGCTCTCTCTAGGGCAAGAGGTAATTAAAGTCTCATGCTGGCTCTCTCCTGAAGAGATTGTTTATTTTCTACTCTTCACATAAGAGTTGCCGTCGTAGATATTTAATATGACAAGTGCGTTATACAGTGCAAGCAGGTTCCATGAATTTGTTCTGAGCACTAAGCAGATGCTATATTCATGATGGTTTCATAGCATGTTTTTCTAGAGAGTTAGTGCACACCTCACTTGGACTCTAGAAGGAGTTTGAAGTTTACCAATAAAAAGACATACAAACCAAATTCATCCTACCTCCATATTCAATTCTCCTTTCAGAATAAATTTCAGAAATTAAGAGACCATTACTGTGCCAGCCTCCACAGTCTACCTAGAAGTAAAATAAACGTGGTTCTGGGATGAGGAACTGCAAACAGTTTGTAGGCCAGTCCTCAGAGACCACCTAAACACTAAACTGCAGAGTACAGAAAGAAGGCAAGAGGATCCGTTACTACTTGCAAATGCAACTCTTTTCTTCTCCATTGACTGGACATGACCCTTGCCACCTATACATGAAGAGTCAAGTAGAATGAAATCATCTGTGCTTCAGGAGAATTCTGCAGGTCCCCCTTGTGCAGGCCACTGAAGATAATGCCACCCAGGAGAAATTTCCACAAAAAAATTACAATCTTTGCATTCTCCTGTGCCTGAAGAAGGGTGAGTATGCCCAAAAGCTTTCAAATCAGGATATTTTTTTTGCAAATATCTAGTTGGTCTAATAAAAGATATTACCTCTACTACGAGTTCTGATTACTTTTCCCCATCCACATTCAAGGCAAAGGGGACCAAAGAGCAAACTAGTGTTCTTTGTGGAAACAACAAATGTTTCATTATGCTATTATTGAACTTAAATATTCAGTTGTATTTCTTTTGAAGATACTGCTATAACACTTTTCTATCCTTATAGCTACAACTTTATGCTTAAAGATTCAAAGTATTGTTCCAACTAAGGTATGCTCCATATACAATATTGAACTCAACAAGGTAGTCTTGTCATTTGTTTACAGAATACGTCTTCTTTTATCTTGAAGATATGATACTTGCCCAGTTCAATAGAACTTAATACAACAGAACACTGTGTCCAGAGGACTTTCATCAGAGTACTAGTATGAAATAAGAATATTCAGATGGATGTAGGTAAATATTTTATAAACACATGCACATATTCAGGTGAAGGTGCATTTGGAAAGATATATGCCTAGAGAACTTCCAACTTGCTCAATAAAATTAAATAAAATTTCATTGGAAAATGTTAAAAATCATTAGACCTACTCCATTTGGGATGATGATTTGAGCACAGGTACAGGGAAAAACAACAGGAAGTCATGATTTGACATGAACCTACATCCCTCCCTGAAATGGAAGACCCAACAGTGTAGACATTAAAGAGCTATGAACATTAATGAGAAACTGGGAAACAGGAAAGCAAAAATAAGCATCTGAACCATTGAGACAGAAAAATGTAAAAAAAAAAAGAAAGAAAAAGAAAGAAAAAAAGACAAAAGGATTTATTATGTTGAAACTGATTTTTTTATGGAATAAAATGTAGCAGTGTGCTGATTTCTGGGTTTCAGAAGACATAAGTGATGTAATTTACTCTCAGGAAGAGTAGATCCCTAAAATGTTGGGCTTGACACAGAGGAAAATACAAGAACAAATATCCTGAATTACTTAAAAAATAATTCAGTACAAAAATAAAAACTAATTTGTTAACTTGATTTTTTTTAAGTAAGGATAGAGCATTAATAGCACACAGAAGAGGTTTTGTGCTCAAATGCACAAAGCTGCTTAAATGTTGCATTAAAGATAATGACTTATTTTCCTGCTCTAAGAGACTTGAACTCAATGTGAGTTCTGAACTTAAGTCTAGATATGTGTTTAAGTTCCTTGCCAGTCTATTTTATTCAGCATTATTGTTACCGCTCTTGGTAAATACTTGAAAAAGGGTTGCTGTAAACTGTTAGCTGCTAAAAGATGTATCTAAAAAAGTTCACAGTAAAGAGATGCTTGTTACCAACAGAGACAGTTACCTGAAAGTATATAAGCAAGAATCCCCAACAGACAGACTAGCAATATATCACAATTACTTGTCGTGATTCATTATTAATTCTTATGGTAACCACTGTACTCATATGCTGAATTCACTATTAATGTGAATGCAACATACAATTCCATAAGTATTAAAACATAGTTTAAAGAGATCACTTTGTTTAAAAATGAGTAACTCTTGTCAAATCTTCAAATTGTGCTGAACAATACAAAATTAGCTTATTGCTTAAATTAATATTCTAAAACTGTTTATACTGCCTAAGTAACATCACTTTATATTTACCTTTTGAAAATACAGTTTATACCAAAAAAATAATAAATCTAACAGATTGAAGTTCAGTCTTATGCAAATGTCCTTTGTTTTGTGCTCTGGTGAGCAAGCTACTGTACCAATACTTTTGGCATTAGTACAAGCCTGAATCCATGGAAGCATGTGTGTATTTACACAAAAGAGGCTTCTAAGCTACAAAAATCCCTCTTGTTTGGTTACACTAATTTCCCTTGAATGAAGTTTGTATGCAAGCCAAAACAATGGTAGTTATCCTGTCCTCTAGAGCTCATTCCCAACTGAATGATGTGAATAATTGAAAACTTCCTAGGTAGTCCTGTAAGACATTATTTCCTAAATCAGCGGAGTGATGATGTTGTTTTTACTTCATTAGCCATTTTTTTTTAAAAAGAATAATTTTAAACAAGTATTTTAATATTTATAAAAAGTATTGTGTTGTTCATTAGCATGTTAAGAATTTGTTTTAATTATTCATTTAATTATTTCTCTTTTTTTGGTTTATTTTGGTCTGACTGCATAGTAAAGGCTAAGTACTCCATTGTGATGGTCCAAATGTTTCAGGTGTGTGATAAAAACAGAAGCGTCTTAATACAGTGTGCAGGGAGAGAAAGAGAGAGGAAATCTGAAGCTGTATCTACAATGGTTTTGAATTAGAGGCCAGACATGAGTTATTTACTTATCCCTAGAGCAGTGAAATCTTTTAACTCAGCCAGCAGATCTCTCTGTCAAATTCATAGCGGTTACAAAGAAAATATATTTAAAAAATCATGAGACAAAACAGACTCAGCCTAC